TAAGGCACACCTGTGCAATAATCATGCTGTCTAATCAGCATCTTGATATGCCACACCTGTGAGGTGGGATGGATTATCTCGGCAAAGGAGAAGTGCTCACTATCACAGATTTTTTCAGATTTGTGAACAATATTTGAGAGAAATGGTTATTTTGTGTTTATAGAAAATGTTTTAGATCTTTGAGTTCATCTCATGAAAAATGGGAGCAAAAACAAAAGTGTTGCGTTTATATTTTTGTTCAATGTAGTTAAAAGGTCTATCGAGAGATCGGCTGATCAGAATTGGCATGACAACCCAGCCGTGCAGTCAGAACCTTTTGCTGCTGTGACTTGTGATATGAATTCTCCGGCCGTTTGACTTGTAATAAACATCATTGTTTGACATCAAAGCTCCAACTCTCCTCGTGTCTCTCTGAGTCCTGACTCTCCATTGCTGCAGAAGTTTCCTTTGCACATACAGCCTGTCAGCAAAAATACAAACGTTAGGGCTGTTGTCACTATTTTCCTCAGTTCCTTTCCCCTCAGTTTGAATAGCTTTCTTTGTCATGCCTGTGTTTCACCACCATGTGTCCCACTTGGCTTACAATTCATTAAGTTTAGTTTCCTCACGTTTGTTAGTTCATTGGCTTGTCTGTGCAGTTTCTGTTTCTGTCTTAAAAATAGACAATAGCCCAAGCTTTCAAAAGTTAAAAACAATTGTAACCACATTTATCCAATAAACATTAAGACTACAAAACAAAAATAAACCTCATGATGAGTTCCAGCGATCAGGCGGTCATGTAAGGTAAATGTAAATGTTCATTAATAGTTGTTATTTCCATTTTTGACAAAGATCAACTTATTTTAAACAAAGATATAATTGAAAGGCCCAGTCATGACTGTCAATTCAATATCTTAAAGGCTTCATTTTATTAATGAACATTGGATCAAAATATTAACATGCATATTTATGTTTGTTTATTCACAGGGGAAGAAAAAGAGGGGGATCTTATCCTGAAATATCTTTATTCTTATAAACAAATAGCATAGGCTGCGAATAACTCATATATTTGCATCAGATAATGCCCTGGTTCCCACCACAAAAAGGCAATGGGAATTTTATATTAGATACAATTCGTACTCCTTTCCATATTTCTAGTCTCAATCCTGCAGCACTCTATATGAAGACACAGTTGTGCTTTGAACCAAATGCTTATTTACTTACTTTACTTATAGGAACTATTCAATATCCAAAGAAAAGTGGTCCTGCATGTTGGCCCACAAGTATCACTGTAGCATCCAATGGCCTCACAGAACTGTGCAGCGGTGGTAGTCCCAATTAGCTCCTTGTATTAACGGTCTAAATGTGGCTATCATTTTCAAAGAAACCGCACCACTACTGGTTAGAATACTGCAGCCACAATCAGCCTTAAATCCACCTACTACTATGGCAGTTCTGAGGTACAGGAAGTTGATACTTATTATAAATCCCTTGTCATGTAGACATATTTTAATGGATCGGTTCAAACCCAAAGGATATGTAGGATACATTTGAACAAGGCAGTTTTAGTAGAAGTAAAAATCAATGCCTTGGAAATACATCGTGGGGCAAAGTATGTTTTCCTTGATACAACTGTCTCTATGTTTCCTGAATAACGAGACTGGAGGACCACTCTCATGTCCCCATGGCAACAGTTTGCGGTGGTAAAACTTTGATCTTCAACGTGGCTTGACATCAGCACATGCATGATCAAATGTGGATTCACTCATGCATGCCTTAGCATGCACACGCACAGCATACACACACACACACACACACACACACACACACACACACACACACACACACACACACACACACACACACACACACTAAATGTCAACTAATAATCAGCATAGGCTTGCTAGTAAGATGTTGTATTCAGGAGTCGATAGACTATGTCCTCGAGCACATCACATGTTTGCAGTCTTGGCATCCATTACGACAAAGATGCTGGCAGTAAGATTTGATCGGGAGATAAACAGGACAACACTAAGTATGGGTTGAAATAAAGAGGATTAGACCGTTCTTTTCAAATCCAAATACATGGTTTGATTATTTTTCTAAAGGACCCAGTGCTTTCCTAAAACAGTTGAGCACTGTAGTTTTTAGCAAATGTTTTCTAAACAGGACTTGAAAGTGTATTTGTTCGGGACTATCCTCACCTGTGGGTTATCACACATTTGGTCATGTAGTGAGTATTTGGAGGGAGAAAAACTCCCTCTGGAGGGATCTTTAGGATGTTAGCCTTTGCAGACCATTTAATAATAATAATGATGGATTACATTTTTTAATTAGAGCGCTTTTACAGGTGCTCAAAGCGCTTTACAATTACATATTACACATATTAGACATGTAAATATCAATACTGTGGACATTTACATGCACAACAACTGAAAAACACACTCCAGGAAAGGGAAAACCCCCAAAAGCACAATAGGGCCCCTTTAATTGTACCACATACATGCTACATTTAGTGTATGCCAGTTTAAGTTATGTGTATATAGTGATTCTGTTAACAGCTTAATGCATGCAATCACATCATTCAATGAAAGTGAAATGCTGTTGTTTTTTTTGTTTCATCGTCTGTACGACAAAATGTTGTTCACATTTTCTTTTATCAGGTTTCTTGCCAAAGTCACCAATATCTCCACTATCTCTCTCATTGTGAAAACTCATTTTTACAATATTCAGTGCTTAAAAATGATAAATTAGACCTAATCTCTTACAGCTTAAGCTTTGTTTTTATCGGGAAGTTTGGTGACTTTGAGCTCTGTTCTGTCTGTCTGTATGCTTCGGCCTGGCCTGCCTGTTTGCCCTTCTCGCAATTTTCTCTGTTCTTCTTCCGTCCTGTAGAAAGAGTACAGGAGGTATCTAGAAGAGGGAGTGATTCTGTTATTATGTATTTATTTAGATGTTGGTAGGCACTCCGTATTCCAGGTTCTCTGTAGTGTTGCTACCAATATTGCTCATAAAGTAAACAATCTTGGGCAAATAACGTTCCCCTTACATTGTTTTCTTGGACTGTACTGGACGCATCACCATATGCTTTCTTTGAGTTTAAGTTAATTACGCAAGTTTGTCTCTGTAAGGAAGATATGTGATCATTATTTTATGTATTCATATACCATGGCTGGTTTGCTCATCAGTGTGCTTTACTAAATGTAAACCGTCAAAATGGCTCCAGTTATTTCCTGTTACAATGTTTGCAAGCAGCGTCAGGAAATTAAGCTGTTTCCTAGCAACCTATTATCAGTAAAGGGGTCTTTGCTGACCCAACTCTGGACTCATGCTGCACAAATAGGATTTTTAGGATTCATTGTTGTTTTATTTGGAATTTAGCCTACATTTTTATTTAAACCAAAGTTTTGTGAATATTTGTATTTTTCAAGACAGTATTCAGAAATATGGTCCTTTTTATTTTCATACTGGATAAATACATTACACATTAGAGTATTGAACCATATCATCTATAGACTTGGATGTATTGAGTAGTTGATGACCCAGTGTTTTGAGTTAGAAAACAAACAGAACAGTTTAAAATAAATTAATGTCGTATGCACAGGCGAACAAGGAATTAAGAGACCGCGGCAGTCCAAGAGAGTTACGACGGAGCACCTTTACAGCCCTGGAAAGACTCTGGTTTTGAAGAAAATACTTTTAACCCTTTTAACATTTGAATTGTTTGTATTGTTTTAATTGTATTTTAAAATAGTTTTAGACTATCTTTTTACTGAGATTATATTTTAGACAGCTCTGATTTTAGTTTCTTAGTCAAGTTTTTATGTTCTCCTGAATAAATTATTGTGAAAATCTTAAACTTAGTAGTTGGCTCCTTTATTACCCAGTTTTGCTCTCTACCTGATTTAAAAGAACCCTTTCCCTCTCCATATATTATTACCCCTCCCCTCTCCTTTACATAAAGTGGAAAAAGGAGCATCCTTTCATCTGAATTGATTAAAACAATGTCTTTCTTGTTTCATTTATTATATTTTCCTTTTAAGTGAGAATACTAGTTCAAGTTGTCTGTTTCCACCTGTTGAGCGTTTAGGCCACAGTGAATGAAGAAGTAAAGGGCAGGCGCTAGGACCCTGAGGGTTCACGTCTTTTCAGGTTACACACGATGCTGCCTTCACATGCTGCAGGAATTGTCACTATTACATTTAGTGGTGGAGAAGTAATGCCTAAAATCGACTGATAAGGTTTATCTTAGAAACTATTTTAAGTAAAATGTTCCACTTGTAGATTTATGAAGTCACAATTGTATTAGATGTATTAGATTGTGGTAAAGTAAAATTACAAATGTTAAACTAAGTTATGGTTAGCTAGCTTTCAACTTCTGGCGACTGCAATTGTGACACGAAAACATGAAAGTGGCTTTGAATAATATTAATATCTCAAGTAAATTATTTAGCTGTCGGAAAATTCAGCGATTTAACTAAACTGAAGCCTCAAATTACTTAAAATAATCAGAACACGGGAACCATTTATTTAATTAATGGTACAAAGTTATGCGTTATTTGTGGCCTTTATATATTTGTTTATCTCTCTATGGCCTCCATAAAAATCTGATCCACCATGATATAAATTCCCAACTAGTGATTTGCATGTAATGATTTAACCTTGTAAGGAAGAATTGTGCTTGTAAAAATAAACTCAGGATTAAATTGTTAGTTAAAAAACAATACCTATAACAACAAAAAAATAATCGGAACCATGTTACTTGTAGACTATTCTGCACTATTTCAATTATATTCTATTTTATTTATTTACTATTATCTGTTGTATTGTTTTGCACTGTTGGAGGAGCCTGTGATCTAATATTTTAATCATCATAACTACACTATAGCTAGGCCTATGTACAAATGACAATAAAAGCCTTGCATCTTGAATGTTAGCACCTGTTTACTAACAACTAATAAATCCGAATTTATTAGGTGTCCCTGAACGCAGCATGAGCGTCAAACCTCCACCCCTCGAGGAAGCCGAGCGACATCCATCAGACTCTCTGCTGCACTCTCGGAGGTACACACTTCTTCAGGCTGAACCCCACAAACACTCCGCCAGGCTGTCACACCGATTTCCGGGCACAATCTGGTGATCTCCCCGCTGATTCTCCTCTCCATCAGGACCGAGGGAGAGATGCGCCGTCTGGGAGGAGTAGGAGGAGAAGAACAGCAGCAGCAGCAGCAGCACACACCTGCGAGCAGGATCTGAGTTTCTGTAACATCAAAGAAAGGTAAGTGCAGAAAGAAATGTTACCTGGTCGTGCTTCAGACTCGGGGTTTTGTCTGATGCAGATGCTTTTTGTTGATTTCCGCGTTACTTCCCAGCATCAGGGGAAGGCAGGCAGTATGAGTCATAGCACGGATCTGCTGAGGAGCAAAGTGTCTGCAGCCTCCAAAGCCTCATCTCTGATCAGTACATGCAAAGCGATGCACCTCTGTGTGCTGTTTAGGCAAATGACTGCTTACGGTGTGCGTGTGTTTGTAGTGAGAGTGGGCGTTTGCAGACACGTGTGTGTATGGGATAGCTATTTCACATGGCTAGCAAGATGTTGTATACCAGAATGAAATTCACAAGTTTTTTTTAGGAAACGTCTGATAAGTTTATACATTTAATTTTCTTTTAGGGCTGCAAATAATCTTTTTTTTAAGGTCGGTTAATCGTTCGATTATTCGATTAATCGATGAGGTGCTTGGTTTGTGTCAGAACATGGTGACATGTTGTTTAGTGTTATTTAAAGCTACAGAAAACATTAAGCAGGCATCACAATTTTTCTGACTTTGAACTGGTTTTAAAAACATAACTTGATTCCTGATTGATTTAATAGTCGACAACTAATCAATTTAATCTCTTGCAGCTTCTTATTCGACCCCTTTATGTGCAATGATGCTACAGCACAGTCTAGCTTTTTGGACACCTCAAATGTTTGACCAAAAGTAAGCTCCTGAAATAAATGGTTTTCCCTGTTTTGCTTGGAAGAACTTGACTGGACTGCACAGAACTCTGACATTCAACACCTTTGGGGTGATCTGAAGCATCAAATCCTTGCCAGAACTTTAAACAAACATCGGTTCTTGGATCTCTCTAATGCTCTTGTTGCTAAATGGCTAAACTGTTGCTAATTGCCTGTATCCAACATGATAGAAAGCCTGACAGAAAAATGTTGAAAGCACCCCTGACCCTTGGAGACGGTCCCTAACTTTAATTTCTACATTCCTCTCTTTTGTCAACATATACGGCTTCAAAATCTGATCATAAACTAAAAATAAGACCTGTTGAACATCAGTTAACAGGGTTCTTACGGTCATTAAAAACCTGGAAAAGTCATGGAAATTCAAAATGCTAATTCCAGGCCCTGGAAAAGTTATGGAAAACAATATTTTTCCCAAAGTTTTGGAAAGGTCATGGAAATGTAACTAAAGTTGCATCAAATATAATTTACATTTTATCTAATCACCGAAATAGTAATACTATAATGATAATAAATACTGTATCGTAGTAATGAAACGTAAAATGACATTTAACTGACGAGGTATTTTGTACAACATGTTTCATATGCAGACCTTATTTTCCTGTAAATAAACCATTTTCAGTGGTAACGCTGAGAGAGAGTAATATCTTTGGTCATGGAAAATTAGGTAAAGGTCATGGAGAAGTCATTGGTGAAAATGTGTATGAACCCTGAGTTAAGCTTTGTCCTACTGTAGAACACCGATAAGTAGTTATGGAGTCGTGCTGAATTGAACAACCTCAGTGTGAGTGTGGCCTACCGCTAAGCCCACTTGCAGTTTTCATATCTGACTTGTTTTACTGTAAACTGCACATCCAGGTGTTTCCCCCGGTAAGAGTACACTCATCTGAAGCTCCTCTGTGGCAGCAATGAGTCTCTCTCTTAGACTGACTGTATTTGTTGACTCATAAATCAGTTTGTAAACTAAGATGGAAGGAGCAAAGGTAATTAGTGGAAGCTGCCTTTTATTGGTTTGGTAATTCACTCCGATCCCTTGAGCTGCTGGCTACTTTATTGTTATATTACGTCTCTAACATCAATCCAAGTTGATTCCTCACTGATGGACCATAATGGAAATTACAGATTACATTCTCGCTGTTATCTCCACCGTTGTTATACACTGGCAGGCGCTGCTTTTAAACGTTGCATTTCATAAAAAGATGAATTCATTAATGGAGATAAATCCTGATTGTTGTGGCTTTAGCAGATTAACACAGCAAGTGTTTTAAAGTGTTCATAACGGCCCGTCCACACAGCAGCTTTAAAAAAAATCTTGAAAATCTTGGAGGTGGGCGTGTCTGAAAGCTTGGGGATTTTTTGCGAGCAACGCGGACCAACACCAATCACATGAATCTCCCGGCGCGCGCGGCGCCCGGACATGACAAAGCAATAGCAATGTTAAAACGACGAGGTAAACCGGGATATAAAATCCGCCCAAACCAGGCGAAAGACCGTACCAGTTTACCACTGTCTCGTGCCACCTCCCTCCGATGCCTGGTTTCACTCGGTTTGGTGTCCCGGTACGTTATTAGCG